TACAAGATCTTGGAGAATAATGTACATAGGAGCTTTTCCTGAGGAATATACTAGTGGATGAGTTTTATACAAACAGGAGATAAATGGGGAAATATCAGCAAACAAACTGATGGCAAATATTTAATATATTTAATTTTAAAGGTGATTCTAAAACAACGTAAGCGTGGCTGGAAGAATAGTATGCAAACATTTTATATTCTAACAAAGTAGCAAAAAACACAGCAAGAAGAAATGGGAGGAAAAGGAAGAAAGGGAAAATACAACAGGAGCATTGTCTATAATGAAGGTAACAGGTGGGAGTCAAAGGATGTCATCTATAAGGTTAAACAGGAACAAGGGGGATTAAAACCATTATAAAAGGTATAAATACAAAGGCAACCACTAGAATAAAAATGCAAACCTTCCTAAGTTTCATCATCATAATTACAATAGCTCTTCAGAGACAATTCTCCATAACATTCTATACATGTTATATCAGCCATCAGCCTTTGTTCAGAACTATCTTTTCAAAGAGGTTTGGTACAGCAAACAGTCTTTGGTATAGCAAAGATGTTCAGTATAGCAAACAGCAAGACAGAGACAGAATCTCCCCCTGGGCCAGAAGGCATGTTTGTTACCTAACTAGGATAATAAAGATAATGTCTTTCTCTTGGGCAAAGTTTGGGCAGATTTTCTAACAGCTCCTTAAAGAACTCCTAAATCTGGAGCCCCTCAGCGATGACACAAACCCACTGGGTATGCAGCATCACCCCATGGGACTTGGGGGTCAAGGGGAACCTATACAGCCATGAAGTACGTGCTACTTTTTGTGCTGTTAGTAAGAAAATGCTTTGTCTCTGACGCAGGGAATCTTGTGTCTTCTGTCAGCATGTATGAAAGTGTAGCAGGCATGCAAGTTGGGCTAAAATCTTAATAAAGGAGACACAGCTAAATAGAGAAAGAAATATAGTAAATATAATGATACACACAGTAATTATGGAGTGATTTACAGGATATACTGATAAGTGAAAACAGCAAAATAGAAAGAAGTATACACAATATGCTTTAAAAAAATTATTTATTTGTTTATTTTTTGGCTGTGCTGCATGGCTTGCAGGATCTTAGTTCCCCAACCAGGGTTCAAACCCGGGCCCCTGGGAGTGGAGGCACAGAGTCCTAACCACTATACCTCCAGGGAATTCCTTACAATATGCTTTTTATAAGAAACAGGAAATAGGAATACATACACATATGCATATACATATATATATACACATAATTTTACAAAAAGCACAGGAAGGATAAACAAGAATTTAATAAAATATGCTACCTACGAGGAATAGAGAATAGCTAGAAAGGAAGGGAGTGACACCTCTCTGACGATACTACTGTGTATCATATTTTGACTTCTGGAAGCATGTTAACATTATAGATATTCAAACATAATTAAATCTACAAGAATGGGAACAAAGGCACCTAAAATTGAATGCAAATGGAAACAAATGAATGCCACTATATTTCAAAGGAATAAACTACACTCAAGGGGAAAAAAAACTACAAATAAATCTTGAAATCTTTTATTTAAGTTTATTTTCAAAATATATAGCTGTACTGGAACTATTTTATGTATATTATATGATTGAGCAAATGGGTAAATGTATTAGTGTTGTTAGCAGTCCAGGTTCTCCCTTTACATAAAGGGAAATACAAATATGAAACGGGGGAGGACAAGGAAGAATTCTGTGGTTTGGATCGAAATTGGAGGTATCAGTATGACTCACACGTTCTTCAAAATATTTATCTACTTACCTACCTACCTCTATTTAACTATCTAATCTAGCACTGAAAGGTCCTAGAAGTAATGAAATCGCAGAGACAATGAGCATATCACATGTCCAGACCTTGATTCCTAAAATACCATTTTCCTCTAAAATGGAATAGGGTAATTTGAAGAAATGGCTGATTCTGGAAGTGGGACAGGGAAGGTATAAGATAAGCCTGAAACATCTTGTTGTGTCAGAAAATGAGGACGTGCTTAGAAAAAAAAAAAGGGAGTATGTTGAAAGGACCCAGAAACCATCTTTAAAGAAGATTCTCTGGACAAATCTGTGACAATCTGAGTGTCAAAATAAATAAGAAAAGTAACTGATAATAACCTAGTCATGAGTCTTTGCTCACAATAAGTAAATAAAATAAGAAAGAAGGATGGGCTTTTCCTCATAGTGGAATGCTGGCTGCTAAATATAGGGGGAGTGGTAGAGCTGGAAAAATCTCAATTTTGCAATCATCAGGCAAGAATCATCAATGGATGTCGGGGGCACCAACCTTCAAAAGTTCTGTCTAGAATTTTAAACAGACATAGACTTTATGGGTAGTACACAAGTTTGTGAGAAGAAAAATAAAATGGTATTGGGGAGTAAACTATAAGAAATTTAAGCTAAGAATGATATGCTGGACAGTTCCCAGGAAAAGTTGGCAACATAGAAAAGAATGATAGACTAAAGACTGAATCAAGGGCTTGAGAGATTGTGACAAATAAATGAATTGGCCCTTGAAGAGGTTTCAGGGAAACAGAGTCCACCTATCTTATTCTTCTCTCCATACACCCACACTTGTTACAGATAACTATATATACCAAGAAGAGCCCATAAACAGAGTACAAAGACAGTGCAACCATATATGTGTTCTTGTGACAAATATACTGCATGCCATTTTTCTTAACTCATTTAAATTTATATGGCTTTCACCCTCTCTTAGAACAATGCTAATTTTCTATGATAATCCAGATAAATTTGACAAGACAAGAAGGGTACATAAAGAAGAGATTAACTCCAAATGTGTGGGATGTTCTCATTTTAATGTTACACCATATATTTTTTAAAATCAATCTATTAGAATCTATACTTTAATTATATTTGGTATGCAGCCAATTCAAAGAAGGGGTACGTGTGCTAGAAGACAAGGGTTATAAGTATCTGTTCAGCTGGAAAGTGGAGAGACCAAACCTAAGGAGCCCACAGTTGCTAGACAGACAGGTTTCTTTGTGCTCAACCAATGAATTCTTAAGTTCACTTCCTTCTTAGGCAGTTATAAAGAATATCATTGACTTTACTGAATGTTATTAGTGTACAAAGCAATATATATGTGTATATATGTGATATTATGTATTCATGTATTCATATTATTGTTAATAGTTCACAGTCAGTGGGTCAAGTTTACAATATCAAGTTATAGAATTTGAATGACTTAAGTAAAATGCATTAAAATCATCTACTTCCACTACCTGTTGTACTAATCATGGCTCTCTCATCCCTAAAATGCCTTATCTTTGAAATACATTTGATGTATGTGACCCAGATAAAATGAAATATAACTCAGAGTCAAAAATGGAAAAGGTTTTTAAATACTTTTAGCTGAAGAATTCTTTGTTCAGATGAAATCTTATTTTAAAAGGTTAAAAGTATACAAAATAACTAAAAGTGGGAACTATTCTGGCTAAAGTGGGCAGGGGAATTCTGGAGTGCCACCTGTTTTGGGGAGACTTCCTGGCAGCCCAAGGCAGTTAGAAAACCACTGCTGCATAAGATTATAAGTAGAGTATAAATGCATGAAATTGTCACTGAATGTAAGTTCATACTAGTGAGTATTAAAAAAATATGGAATTTAAACAAAAAAAAAGAATCTAACTCATCTACTGATGAATATGAACCAAGTAAATATACAGTCTTTTTATTAAATAGTAATTTACAAGAGAAGTATAAAAGACAGCTCATTTTGGAACTATGTTAGCTGTTCTTCCTTGTTATAAGCTGTCAATTGATACTGGCATTAGATATCTTAGATTAATATTTTTATTCTGATGTCCATATGTATGTCCTAAATATCATGTGCCACAATGAAGTGATAAACAGGGATTCAAGAAATAATTTTTAATAATGAGAATAACAATATTATTTAATTACTTCTAATCTGGACAAATATATATACTTCAATTTTTCTAACTAGTTTATTATATTCTGCTTTTAATAATTAAATCTGTAATTTTTAGGATGATTTTATCGTTTTTAAAAAGTCTAGGTTTCCTCAGTTTCCTTTAGCTATTGAAAGAAAAACCAAAAATCCTTTCTAACTCTAAAACTACTATAAATAAAAATGAAGCTGCCTCTTGCTACTGTTTGCTTTGTGGAAGCAGAACAAAAGCACATTAATAGTTAACAAAGCTACAATATGATATACGAATGAAGTCTTGCATTAAAAAAGTACTTAGATTGTATTTACAAAAGAATCTCTATCATTAATTATTCAACGTTTGGATTTGACCAGAAACCAGAGCATGACTTTATAATGCTCTGTTTAAATGAACTACTTAATGTTGTAATGAACACTCAATGTGGTGAGCTCAATGAATTTTGGACCTGGTATAATACAACAGTTCTTCCAATTTTCTGATGAATTGACAGATTTTAATGTTAAGTCAGTTGGAATTTTACTTGTTTTAAAAATGTTTACTTAAACCAAAAATTTTGCATCTCAATTATTTTATATTCTAAAACTGAATGTAGTTTAAACTAATGCATTATTCATAAAGCAAAGACATCAGGAAAAACAAAGCTGTGCACTTCTTTCAAAGCAGTTAAATTGCTAAAACATACCATATTTATGCATGCAATATTTGATTGTGTTTTTCTTAAAACACAAGCTTGTTTTTGTCAGATCAAGATTTGCCAAAAATTCTACACCAAACACTTTTCTTTATAATTAAAGCAATCATCAATCCAAGGATTGTCATCCATTTTATTTCATCTCTACATCAGAAAAAAATGTAATTTAAAAAAAATTTTAATTCCCTTGAAATGATAAGATAAATGAAAATGTAAGTGCCTTCACGTAATAACAGTAAGCTGACCCTTTGGGAAATGGTTGACTTTCTCAATACAAGGTATTCAAAGCTCATTCAAGTGTTCATTTAGAATGCAGATATCAAAGATGATGCAAATGTTCAAGAGAAAATTAGAACTTACCAGATGTTCTAATACAGCTTTGATGCTTCCAGATTCCCTAAAATAGAAGAATAAAAGTTTAAAATAGTTGTTAAACCCTTGTCTGCTATAATTTATGTTTACCTCAAAAATATTTTACAAACCCTTATAATTTTTTCATATATCTTTCCTAATGTTCATAATAACTTTGTTTTTAAGGACAAAACAATTTCCTTACGGAACAGATAATTTATTTATATCTAATAGTAGTACTACCGCTAAAATTGATATTCGTCTAGTAGAAAGAATGTTTCAGACTTTTCAAAGTCAGTGGAGAACAAAAAAGAAATCAAATGTGTTATTTTACTATTTGCACACTGTCTTTATTTTACATTAGCTATTTCATTAGAGTTTATGTTTTTTCAATGTTTATTATGAAAATGTTCAAACATACAGATTCTTTCCACAATCTAGAGTCTACAATTGACATTTTACTACATTTGCTTTATCAAATATCCATCCATCAGTAGGTGCATTTTTATATAAAAAATGGCCACAAAAAGAATGTTTGTGAGTACATAGTTAAATAAGTCAATCTTAAGTTTTTTCCTAGCATGAATTTTATCAACTTAGTGCCCACTACAAATCAGAACCTAAGACTATTGTAATATTTAAAAGCAAAAAAATCACCAATGGAAACACAAACATCAAATATCACAATATATTTTAAGTATTTAATTTCTTGCTTTTCACTTTAAAAAAGAGTGCTGATGAAACTAAAAATACAAATAACTGTGCAAGTAGCAAAGGTAATTTAAATACACATTTGGTGAAATATGGCAATAGTGAGATATTTTTCCTGATTTCGGTCAATGCTAATTTATTAGTGACAAATGGACTTTGACTTTTCTCACTCCAACAAGCAGTATTTGAATTCCATCATTAACATCATGCCTTATCTGTTTTAACATAAAATTATACTTCTACCACATTGCAGAAAATAATTATGAAACATCCAACAACAGTACTGCATTCATGATGTTTAATCTTTTCCCCATACCCCTTTCTTTCTCTAAAGGGGCCCCAATTTTATTTCTTTTCTCTTTATTTTGTCTCCAATTTTTTTTTTTTTTTTGGCCAAAAATCTACTTACTTCTGTTTCCTTTGTCTTGCTATACAATCTTTTCAAATTTCCCTATCTTTTCCCTTTGGCTCTACTGCTTGAAAACTATACTCATGGCTTCCAACCTTTGCTCTCACTGCCCAGTCTGGCATCCTGGGAATAAATTCCACTGTCTACTGATTAGTACTCATCTTTAGCCATTCTCTCTTCTGCTTTCTGCTTCTGGCAATGCTATATATTCAACATTTAAAAATTTAAGGATTTCTGAAACTTATTCTCTGGATGCAGTCCTAATGAAAAATGACAGAAATAAATTGTAACAAGGTGTCAGAGAAGGCCAATAGCTACATAAATAATTATTTTTACCTTTATTATTATAAAATTAATGTATTTGCTGGAGCTGGAAGTCAGATGAATCTTTAAGTTTTCACAAGGAAATTCTCATATAACCATTTGTGCAATTTAAAATTTAAACAAAAAAATAATACATATAGTGAGACATCTGACAGTGTAATATGTATTTATGTGTATGTATACAGGTTACAATAAAATTAAACCTTCCTCCCATCAGTGACTCCCAATTCTCAATCACTGGTATTAGTTATTTGTTTGTCCTTCCAAAGACAGTCTATGCATGTGTATGCATGCTGCTGTGTGTGTGTGTGTGTGTTTCTCTTCTTCTTCTTCTTCTTCTTCTTTTTTTTAACCCAAACAGAAGCATAATATACACACTGTTTTGTACCTGAACGTGGCAATCTATCTTGGAGCCACGTATATTTATACTATATAATACACATCTACTTAATTTTTCCCCCATGGCTACATTGTCACATCATGGTTCTTATTAGAAAATAATGCTGCAATATAAAAGAACAAAAATGCTCAGATTCAAAGTACAAGTCCATAATTCATTATCTGAAACCATTGGGGTTAGACATGCTTCATTAGAATATTTTGGATTTTAAGAAAGGTAATAAGGTACATATAGTGTATGTCATAAAACACTGACAGCAAGGCTTGAAGAAGCACCTCATCATCATACATATTAATAATTCTGAAAGAAACATATGAATGTCCACACAAAGTGGGATAAACAAAGACTATAAACAGCCTCATCTCAGGGTAGGTTTTGCTGTCAACTGACTTTGTCACAAACTTAGGGAAAATTTCCCAGTTTTCTGAGTTATTTGCATTTTGGAATCAAGGATAAGAAAAAGAAAGAAAGGAGGGAAGGAAGGAAGGAAGGAAGGAAGGGAGGGAGGGAGGGAGGGAGGAAGGGGGAGGGAGGAAGGGGGAGGGAGGAAGGGGGAGGGAGGCAGCGGGGAGAACAGGGCGGGGGAGAAAGCGGGAGAGGGAGAATGGGAGGAAGGAAGGGAGGTTGGCTAGGTATTGCTTTTTTATGTTTCCAAGTGATTCTTTAAATTAAATAATTCTAGGAAATATGCATTTTGAATGGCATGCCTGAAAGAAAACTAGACATCAACATTGACACTTGCCCCTTTCCTTTGCTACCAAATGTAAACAAATGTAATCAACCACAAGGTCTTGGCTATCCAACGTCCTTAATTATCACTTAGATTTAACCACTTCTTTCTATCTTCACAGCTATGTCTTATTTTAGGCCATCATCTTTTCTCTCCCTGATGACTGCAAAGCTTCTTAATGGGTCTCAGTGACCCCTGCCTTGCCCCATGTCAATTCATTCTCCATAATACATTAAGATCTTTGTAAAATGTAAGCTTGATTATGTCAATTTCCTTCTTAAAATCCACAATATACTACTACACTCCAGTTTACTAATTCCCTCTGTTATTTTGCCAAAGCTATTATCACATGGAAAGTGGCAGCAACAGCCATAACAAACTACTAACCTTGCTTTAATCATCACTGAACCACTCACTCTCTCTACCTGAGATGTTCCTTTTGTCCCAGACTCCTCTAATCCTCCTTATCTATCTGAAATATAAAAACATTCTTCAGAACTCAACCTCAACAAAACCTCCACTGGGGAAACCTCTTTTCCTCATAAATGAGGTACTGAACTCTCCCCATGTGTTCACATCACAAAGTTCTCACACTTTATTATAAATACGTATTTACTTTCCCATTGACAACCACTAAAATGAAAACTCCTTGAGGACATGAATTACATCTTTCTAATTTTTATATCCCAGCATCTAATACAGTGCCTGAATCAGAGTATGTATTCAACTAATAAGAGTCTGACATCTAACCATCATTAAGACAAACTTAGATAGAGAGTCAGTAGCAACCATCCCAGGTCTCTGGGTGGTCCTACCCAGCTCCATACCACTCAAAGAAGGCAACTGCAACAGTGAGTTGCTGTTTGGAAGAATAGTTTTGGGAGCTGTGTGTATGTGTGTGGTGGGTGGTAGGTGGTTGTTTCGCTTTGTTTCGTTTTGGGTTGTTTTTGATAAAGTAGGAAGACACAATGGAAAAGTGGTTGACTGAGGCCAGAGTAGAACAAATTAACCTGGAGGAGCACAAGCCAGAGCCTAGACTTTCACCCTTCTCCTTAGATTAAAATTAATAGCCAAGGCAGCTGAATGTTGCAAGAAAATAAAAGAGAAACCCACAAGGAAAATTTTAAGATCTTTGAGGTGTGTAGGCACAGGAACAGAAAAACAACAAAGAAAGCAACCTCATCCAGAGAAAACAGATCGAGCAAGAATATAATAACATATTCAAAGATAAGGGAAGATTTTTAGAAACTAAATATGAAAAACAGTTATGAAAAAGAATCAATATGAGATAATGAGTATTAGAAATACAATAGTTAGAAACTCAGAGGATGAATTGAAAGCACAATAGCTACAGACCAAGAATAAATTAGTGAGCTGGAACACGGGGTAGAAGAACTCTCCCAGAAAGCATAGGAAAGGTATGAAAGACAGAACAAACAAGAGATAAAATTAAGAACAGGAGTAGAAGTATGAACATCTATATAATAAGAATCCTAGAGGGAATGCAAAGACAAAATAAAAGAGAAGAATTATTTGAAGAAATAATGACGAAAATTTCCTAGATATAGAAATATTCAAATCTTAGATTGAAAGGGTACACACAGCAGTGAACAGGACAGCTAAAGAAAAATTCACAGCAAAGCATAATATAAGGATAATTAAGACTGTAATATTACAGATCAAGAGAAAAGTCTAAAAGTTTCCAGAAAGAAAAAGCATACCCCTCCATAAAGGAAGACTAGCACTGACATCAGACTTCTTAACACTAATGCTAGACGATGGCATATTAACTTCCAAGATAAAGTGTTTAAAAAAGAAAAAGAACTGTAAACCTAGAATTTATATTTAATGAATAAACTGTTATTTACATTAAAGGAAAAATAAAGCAATTTTCAGCATACATAATCTCAGGAAATTCAAAAGTTCTTAGGAATGTAATGCAATAAGAAGAGAAATAAAATCAGGAAGAAGCAAGAATATAAAGCAAGTAAAGGCTGGCATAGTACATAATAACTATTGTAATCTTAGTAATCAGTGACTAAAAAGAAAACTAAAGAAAGGTCACCTAACAATCTAGAATTAAAATGCCAGAGAAGGGGCTTCCCTGGTGGCGCAGTGGTTAAGAATCCGCCTGCCAATGCAGAAGACAGGGGTTCAAACCCTAGTCAGTGAAGATCCCATGTGCCGCGGAGCAACTAAGCCCGTGTGTCACAACTACTGAGCCTGTGCTCTAGACCCCGCGCGCCACAGGTACTGAAGCCCGCGCACCTAGAGCCCGTGCTCCGCAACAAGAAAAGCCACTGCAATGAGAAGCCCACGCTCCACAACGAAGAGTAGCCCCCTGCTCACCTCAACTAGAGAAAGCCCGCATGCAGCAACGAAGATCCAATGCAGCCAAAAATAAATAAATTTTTAAAAAAATGCCAGAGAAGTTTCTTAGATTGGGTATGAAACAAATCTAGCAATGTGTGA